ACAGAGCTTGCATCAACTGTTGTTCACATCCCTCTTTGCATGTATGATGATACATATGTAGGTGTGTTTTTTGTGCAGGGACACTCATAATTACACGCTGTCATCCATTGCACACTCAGCTGCAAAGTGCTGTCATCTTAATCCTGTGTTGATGTCATACGGATGACCCACTTTGGGTTGCTGTGCCCTGTAATGAATGGCTGACATGACCAATGCCTGAGTAGCAACTCTCTTCTACACTGTTAGCAGGGCCTCGGAGTAGATAAATCTGTTTATTAGCCCTGCACAGGGCACTTGCAGACTGCTGCAGGACTGGGCAACCGGATGAACTGAGCCAGTTTGTAAAATTTCTAATATTCCGAAAGGCAAGAGAGGAGTTACTAAAGCAGATGGACAATTACATGTCGTGCGAAGTGACTCCAGTGTAAGGCTGCAAGAACTGTATCTTTTGATGGCTTTTGTTCGCTTGTTTTCATAAACTTGCTTGATTGGAATGCTGCTAGGTGACAGTGGTGTGGACGGAAGCAGAGCGGTGCCCGTAAATATATCCTGGGGAGTACTGGGATTTTGACTTCTGGGCGATAGTCTCCGGGCTTTCAGTTAGTGTGGGAGAGTGCAGGAAAGAGCGCCTTACATCAGGGGCACCTGGTGGGTTCCAGTGGGTGGCTGAAGGCTGGATCACCCTTGTCCCTGTTGCTAGCTCCTCTGGCCACCTACTCTTAAAAAAAAAAAAACCATGCCAAAGCAAGCCCCTCCGGGTGTACCTGTGAAATGCTGAATGTGCCGGACTAGTCTAAACTGGGAGCCAAATAAGTACAATTGCCCTTTCATTGAATAGTAAACGTAAACGATGTAAAAAGGCTGTTTCAAAAGAGAGTAGTGCACTGCTGGTCTGCCTTCACCTCGATGGGTGGAAGAGTAAGAGGCATTTCATCCTCTTCCCCCTTTCATTCCTTCTGTGTAAGGGATGTGGCTTCACACAGCAGCAAACTTTTGATGCTTTGTGGGAGATTCTGTTTTATACAGCCTGCCAAATTTACATACAAGAAAGATATGTTTTTCTCTATCCCGTCAAGAATAACTTATTCTACTAAATTCTATTCTAACACCTGGTATTAAAGGATGTTGAGAAACATGTTAGGAAAAGCAAACTTGAGTCATTTAGTTTTTATCCCTAGAAGTAATTTCAAAAGCCTGGAAGTCTAGAATAGCCTCGAACGTTTTTTTCAAACTAGTGTTATTATACGGACTTGCCAGGAAGTCACAGTGTCCATTGATATATTTAACTAGCTATACCTGCTGCCATGACTTGGCAATATATCCCAATTCCAGCCTGTTTCCACCCAGCCTGTGTCATCTGAGCACCAAGTTTTGAAGGAAGGCTTGAGAAAACAGGTCTGGTGATGTACCCTGGCACTTCACAGCCTCCCAGTGCAGGGGGAATTCCAGCGCCAGGTTCTCCCACAGAGCACGTCCAGCCTCGGTCCTGCCACGTTTAAGTCCGAGGACTTTTGTAGTAAGACAAAACCCAAATGTTCCTTTAGTATAGTACTGGTCAAAGGGTAGCTTCTACAGAAAAACAATTTAAGGCTTTGACTTGCACTGGAATCAAGGTAAGCTTTTTCTGTTGAGCAATGTAATGGGCAGAAGTCAAGCAGTTACCTGTGTCTTGCACAAAGCTGTTTGAGTGTCCTGATGTACAGTCTCGGTTAACAGCAGACCATGACTATTGCCTGCATTCTCACATGACTATTGCCTGCCAGTACAGATGAAACAGAAAAGGCTGGCTGGCTGCTTCAGGAATCTTTATTTTAATACTTCCTGCCCCTTGCTGGTTCTCTTCTAGTCTGGTTCCTTTTCGGAAGTCTCCTACTGCTATCTGATTTGCTCCTTTAATTTCTCTCACCCTTTTTTTTGTGACAAGGGTGGAGGGTGCTGGTTCGGATGTAAAATTCTGGCCTGGACAATGATGGGAAAGAGAATAGATCTGCCTGTTTACTATTGTTCTTGTAACTGGGGGAAGAAAAATCAGTCTCATTTTCCCATGAATAATTCCTCTGCATTTCTCCTTCATTAGAGCTTTCTCCAGAACTTCCTTAATTTCCCAGCTGACCAGCTAAAGCCATCTAATTAGATGATCCAGTCCCAGAACATGCACGTGTGTTCACTCCTTTCACAGCCTCGGCAGTGTCTGTCCTGACCCGCTGTGGCACTCTGCAGTTAGCTGCCAGGCGCCGGATAGCATTCGTGACCAAGTCGGAACGCGGTCCTCATCTTGAGGAGATGCTCTTCTGCCCTAGTCTTAGGAGAACAGACTTCACATAATTTGTGTTAGCTGGGGAAATGGCAAGACTTCCATTTTAATTATCTGCAAAATGGGTTGAGTAGTTGTCTGTCTAGTGGACCGTTTAGGACTTGCTAACTTGTGATATCTTCTGGTGGGAAGTGATAAAAGCATCTGTGGGGGGAAAACAACACTTTTCTGTGTGACATTTTGGGAAAGAATGCTGGAGAGTTCGTGTCCCGCTTCAGCATCATGCTTCAGTATCTTGAGATAATCAAAAAGCAAACTGTGATTTAGAAACACAGCTTTTAAATTTGACTCTAAAAGCCTTGTTTTTAGTGTTCTCTTGTAATGGTGGCATTATTCTGTTGTCAGTTGTTCTCATTGGTTGGAGTGTGTTAAAAAGCTACTTAGCAGCAGCATGTTAGCTTTTGACGTTAAGCTGTGGTGGTTTCTTTGGTAGGCGATGGGGTTGGATTGATGCTCGGGTACAGAATATTTGCTGCTTGGAGAAGCTGTTGTCTGTCAGTGGGGCCTAGCGTACAGCTTCATAAGCCACTAAGATCTTACTTTCCTTTTTTAACTCTTAATCTCATCTTCTGCCACTTAAGTGACCTAGCTGATGCTGGTTTTATTTGCTTTGCATGCATACAACTAAATTGATTCAGACCACTCAATCAACCGATAAGAATCAGCTTTTTCAAGCTGTAATTTCAGCAGCAGTTTTACCAGGTATGTAGCTCAGGAAGATCAGCTCTTAGTTGTTCCAGGAGATTAGAGAGAAACTTTATTAATGAAATGAAAAGCTCATTCTCCTTGTTCCCTGCTTTGCTTTTGGAAATGTTGAAAGCATGCTTCTAAGATGGAATGAGGCATTGCTGCTCAGCAGTCTTAGTTCACAGATCACTCTAATCATTCCTCCCACAGGCGTAAGTGCGTGGAGGTTGGTTGTTTGGTTGGTTTTTCACTACAACAAGATAATACCAAGTCTTTCCAATACATGCAGGTATTCCTCAAGAAGCAGATGAGGCTTTGCCATCTGTTTTTTTTAGGACTCCTTAGAAAAGAGAAGTTTCTGTCCCACTCTTACAGCTAGTGGGATTATTTTAGCTAGTCCAAAAGTCCATTTCAGATTTGTAAATTGTTGGCCACCATGGTAATGCTTTGTGTGAAAAAGCTTATGGGATGCAACAAACAGCGCTGGCGTCACTGCCTTGGAAGAACACAGTGTTGTCCCAGAATCATCTCTCCTCCTGATGCAGCACCAAAGATCACGTCTCCCTTTAAACCATGCTTCATGATTTAAAAAAAATACTGTTTGCCCCTAAGGTCCTAAGGGCTGCTCTCAAACAATTTTCTGTGAGAACCATACAGGCACTGTAATACTTTCTCTTCCGGCTCCTGTTCACCACCACTCTGCGTCCTCTTCTGTTACGGAAACCAGTCCTGCCTTGCCTGCATCTTCAGCCTCCGTTTGTTGGATGTTGGGGCTGCTTGATCATTCTCATCACAAGCCCTTCCCTCTGACCTGTTGGCCATATGCTCGTTTGATGCGTAGTTACACTTCACGATTTTAAAGTGCCTCTGCTTTGGTGTACCTTGGCAGCAGTGTGAACAGATGGAAGCCCGTAGTAATGCTGCAGGTTATACCTTCCTGTAATCGGTGCCAGCCCACGAGTACCCCCTAACTATCATTTACTTTAATAGATAAATTAAAAATCTCAGTTCATATTTAATCTATCAATCCAGAGAGCATTCTTGGACCGTTTTTTAAACTATATTGGATGTAATACTCTACCCAACTACAGTCCAATCCAGCCATTTGAAAGCTTGAGTGCAAAGTTTATCTTTTGAGAATTTATTGGGCCAGATGTCTCTCTCAAAATGGCCTCGTTAAGCAGCAGCTTCTTCCCTAGAGTAAAGTAGGTTTTGTTTCCTTAATGAAAATATATGCCTAAATTGTTTAAATTGTTTTTGTTTACAGATGTTCTCAAACAATGATGAAGCTGTGATCAACAAAAAACTTCCAAAAGAGCTGCTGCTTCGGTAAGCCTTCTTTCGGTTTGTAAGCTTGGAGACCGCGTTGTGTGGCGTTACTTGCAGCCGGTAGCTGATTTTGCTGGTATGCTCATCACTCATGAGCTTGGATCGGGTCACTCATAAAGCCGTAGACAAACAGAAGCAGATCAAAGGTCTGCAGCAGCAGTTTATGCTAAATATTACTATGTTTTGTTTTCTAAAATGTTAAATTTTTTTGCTGGTTGCCTGTTTTATAGATGGAAGAACTATAGGACTAAACAAGTCCTTAATGCAAATAAATGGTTAGTATAGGCTAATGGGTAGAATAGGATTCTGCCTGTCTCTGAAGTGTTCCATTTTTAAAAAAACAAGTTAGTTCCTCTGCTCCAGTTTTGCTCGAGCAGACTTTGTCCTGTTCCTTGTCAATGAGACAGATGTTCAGCACCTGGCAGGATGGTCCTGGTGGCAAAAATCAAACAGATCAGACTGGATTTCGGCAGACAGCTCTGCCCTCTCCCTGCGCTGCCCTCCCGCAGGCACACACGTACGCACCTTTTGAAGTTTGCCTTCCCCGGTGCAGTAGTGGGATGATGTGTGTGTGTGGTTGTACCTCAGTCGTCACAGTTTGGCATCTTGAAGTAAAGTCGTGTTCATCAGTGCTCTGAGCTGAGATGCGAGACAGTAAACGGTGAAGGCAATTGCGGGTGGCAGCTTGAATTATTAACATGAACAAAATTCTTACACTGCAAGAAACCGTGTAGTACTGTCAACGTTTAATGGCAATAAAAAGTCTGGGGAGAGGAGCTCTGACACAGGAAACTGCTTCTAGCTCACTTGTGAAATAAAATGAATAGAAAAAACAGTCTGAGTCTTTCCTTTTTCCTTTGGCTGCACTGCCTCCTCTGTTCTCTGTAATGGTATCTCCGTTTCTTTTATTCCAGTATTATTCATCCAAAAGCAAGCTGCATGGCTTCCAAAGCCCTCCTTGCTAATAATGTGGGTATTTGGGTTTTGAGCCTGGTATATGGTTGTCCATGCCATATAGAGATTGCTGTGTAAAAAATCAGCATCAGGTAGCCGGGAGAGACAAGCAACCCGTGGGAGGAGCGGGACAGGATGCCCTAGCCCAGGTGAGTTTGCACAGCTTTTTCCAGCTGACAGCAGTTGTCTTCACCCAGCACTTGCCCTGAGCTATTGGTATGGATGTGTTGCAGCAAAAGGGGAATTTGAAGAGTGGGAAAAATGTCTCCCTGGATTTTCTGAGAGGGGATTATTTTTCTGATGGGAGCAAGTAGGTACTGGCATTGCAGATGCAACAAAATCAGGATTTGCCCTTGTAGTAAGGTGACAAGACACAGGTAGGGTGAGGACAGGTTCTGAAGAGCACTGACATGAGGCAAGGAGGTCGTGTGGCATAGAGAAAGCACGGAATCTGTAGGAGGAAATGTCTGGGGGGGTGGAATTTAGTGAGATTTTACATGAGATTTTTTTACATGAAAATGAGATTTGGCATGGACTTCGGGCAAAGAGGCGTGTGGTCACTGGGCTCCCAAGGAGCAGGACTTTGATTAGAGCATGGGTGAGCTTTCTGGTAGATCAGTCAAAGTGGAATGATCCTGAGTGGGACCAATAAGCACATCTTATAGGGCCATAGGAGGTAGCTGGTGTTGAGGAATATTACTAGACAATTGGAGAAGGATTTGTGGTAAGTAGGAGGGAAGGTCCTGCACCAAGCAGGGAATTTCGCCAGTACAAGCCACAGTGGGGCTGAGTTCTCAGCAGTATGTGTGCTTCTGCCCCGCAGAAATGTGTTTGTCTTTTGTGTCTTGGTATCCCTAATCATCCTAACCTGCTGTAGAACACAGCAAGCGTTCAGGGCTGTGTGGAACCTAGGAGAAATCAGGAGACAAAGTTTATAAATGTTAAAGTTCATCAGTAACGGTTTTGAGAGGTGGAATTTGCTGTTAGCGTACTGTGAAAATTAGTGTGGTTTGACAGTGCAGCTTATGAAAGAGGAGTTTGGATGCATTTATTTGCAGGAATCTCCTGTAAACGAGTGTCACTGGCTGCAAGACAAAGACTTATGTGTTTAAGCAGCGCTGCTGTGTAATGTCTTGTTCTCTGGTTTGTTCATTCTGCAGATGGCATTGATGTCTCATGTGTGTGGTTGCAAAGTGGAAAGCTGTTCTTGAGCAAAATAAAGAGGAGGAGGAGGGTATAAAAGGAGCGAACAGCAGCCTTTGTCACACCCAAGATAGAGAAATGTGCAACTCCAGTAACACTTGTGTCTGGGAGGATGCGGTGGAGGTGTAAAGTGCTCTGGAGGGCTGTCCTCAGAAATCACTCCTTTAAATGTGCCCGTGCTTCAGCTGTCCTGCCCTGCCATGATGCTTATAACTGTGATGTTTGTCCTGCGTTTCCCTGAGAGCAGGACTCTAAACAAAGCAATCCTGCAGCCTGTGGGTAGAGAGACCAGCTGATGGGTCACCAGTCCTTATCCTGATACTGCCGTACCTGCTTCAGCGTAGTCTCCTGCCAGCTGAGTTTCTAGGAGCTTACACCTTTATATGTGAACATAGCTTTACACAGTTTAAACCTGAGCCAAACCAGCAAAAAGTGGAGTTCTGTTCACCGCCCGTGTTCCTTTGCTGCTGCCAGCTCCTCTTCGGGCAGCGTCTGGCTCGGTGGCTCTGAAGGGTGACTTCGTGGTCCGCGTCGGCTCTGGCTGTGGTCGTTGCCCCAGAAGGGGCATCGTGTCCCTGTTTCCCTGTGCTGGCATTAATGATGGCCTGTTGAAAAGGTGCATTCATTCTTTGAGGGCTACCTGCCAGTCACTTTTTGTCCGCAAGCCAAACCCCAACCACAAGCCTGGATCTTCTGTGGCAGTGGTGGTCTCTGCCGGTTTCCTGAGGAAGGTTTACTCGCAGCGTGACATGGTGCTGCTAAGCAGCTTACGCTTGGCAGGGTGAAGGGGACCAGGCTGCAGGAGTTCATCTTTTCCTTGTTGGTTCATGGGTAGGTCAAGTAGTTTTCAATTCTCTCCTGGCATAAGCAGCTTTTACTCAGTGCCACCTCCTGCTGCCTGCTAGCCCATTTTCAGCACATCCAGTCACTGGCACTGGCTTTGCCGTCTGACCCTCAAGCTCCATGTTGATTTATTCCTCGGGAGCTTGAGTTCTACTTGGGACAAGGAAGCGACAGAGCACATGGGGCACCGACCAGTTGGCAGCAAAGTTGTCGTTTCTCTCCTCCTGGCCAGCCCATCAGCATAAAATGAGTATGGGGCAAATTTAACTTACATGGTGAGTCGCTGACATAAAAGGTTGATGATTTTAGAAGGCTAAAGGTTTAAGCTAGCTCACCTCAAAGCCCACAGCATCCAGAGATTTCATTAGAGTCTTGACCCTAATCTAATTAGAGTGGCAGTGGGAAAGTGAGGAGTCCTAGAAAACCCTCAGTGGATTAAGAGGTTGAAACCTGAAAAATGCTCTAACTGCAGTGTGTTTTAGCTAAACTGTCCAGTGCTGGACTGTTCGGGCAAAGTCCTGAACGTAGGGAGTTACTTTGCAAGGAAACAGCTTAATGTGCTGCAATACCTGCAAACGTTTTAAATTCCTGTTTGGAATACTCAGTCTGCTTTCACCTGTGATCACTGTTTGATGATAAAGTTATCGGTGTGGATTATTTTCTTATTGTCAACTCTGAAGAGTAAAACGACCAATGTAAGAGTGCAGCAGTCAGCTGTGAGCAAAACAGAAATCCTGTGTGTTAGATGTAAAAATAAACATTCCAGCTATGTGCCTTTTGATCTATTAAGGCAGAATCAGGAAAGCCATTATTCAAGTAGTACTGAATAATGCTGCTACTTACTCGTCTCTCCTTTTTTTTCATCAGATAAACTGAATCTGGCCAGAGCAGCAGATATTTTCTAAGGATTTGGTGCTTTGGAATAATTTCAGGAGGAATTGTCCCTCTCACTGAGAAAGGGTCTGGAGCTGACTAGTTAAGTTGCATCCAGATTTCCAGTCAGCCCAGTATGTTTCCTCATTGCCAAATCCAGTTTTAATTGAGCCATAGGGTAATAGCAAGAATGCATATTATTTCAAGTGAACATAGAGTTTACCTTTGCTTTATTTTATACTGTGCAGATTGCTGAGAAGGGACTCAGTATTTACGACCCGTACTGTACTCCTGTTGGAAGATGTCTGCTCCATCGTTGCTTACCCACGTGGGCAGCTTGTTTGTGGGTTTTGGGTTTTTTTAAGTGTTCCCCAGCAGCTCCTTGGAGAAGAAAAAGCCTGTCCTCAAGGCTGCATTGGAAAACGTAGCCTGGGTCATTGTGTCTGCAAGATTTTAACTGTGTCTGTGCTGTTCTTTCCAGTTCATGTGAAGGGTTGTAGTTGGAGCCAATTCTGAAATGACCAAAATGCACAACACGGTAGTGACTGCTGCTGAAACGAGTAATTTTTGCAGTCTGATTCTGTGGAGTCATTAGTTAATATTCTTGAACAAATGCAAGAGCAGTTCAGAAAACACTGGAAAATTAAAGTTGCTGAGTTAGGCAGCCGGGGAACTCCTCAGCAGCATTAACCTCGGAGGTGAGAGGGGCAAGTGTTTCGCTGTGTTGACATCCCTTTTACTGTGTGGGTAGGCTGGGAAGGGAGGAGCAGGAAGTAGAAAAGAATTTGGCCAAGACCTAATAGCCCTCATAGAGGGATGAGATGGTTATTAATAGCCTGGGATTTCCATGGAGAAAGCAATTTTAATGAAAATATAGAAAGCTTGCGTAGTTATTGACCTAGCTGCTGTTCCCATGGAGTTTGATTTTGCTCCTGTGATGGAAATCTAGGGTGAAAGTAAGAATTTTCCCTAGCTTCTATCATTTCCCCAGGCTTTCCTTGTATTGTTGTACATTGACATTGTGCTAAGTAAATCCCCAGTGCTCCCATACACACATGAATAAATGACACTTAATTCAAGGGGAAAACTTGTCTATAAGCAGTGTTTTGATAAATAATCTTCATTCATCCTCTATCGGTAACATCCTTTTTTCTTCTTCAACCAACATCGATATTTCTAAAGTGTTTTTTATATACCTGCCAGTGAAGAAAGCTTGGTCATGCAACGGTTGTATCGTATCATCTCAGCCTTGCTTGTGTCCCCTCCTAAAATTTGAAAATCCGGGATTTGCTACTTGTATACAACAATATACGAAGACGTGGGTGTCTGAAGGTGTGTGGCACATATTAACGTGCACACAAAACTTGCTGTCCGTAGCAAAAGCCTAGGAAACCCCTCGTTGTTTATCTCTGGGACAAAGTGCGGTTTATGGGCGTTTATGTAGTTTTAGTGCAATGTTTGTTCATTGCTCTCGGCACCTCTTCCCCCAGCGTTACCAGTGTCTGCGCTATTTATTCAGATGTATTCATTGTTCTTGGTTGGGGAGATGAATACATCCGACAGCTTTCTTGTTTTTATATTGGAGTTTCAGTAACGTTAGTACGGGGTGTTTGTTAAGTTTACAAGTCACACAAAAAGAACATGCCGCCAGCAACATCTTCTCATTTCTGAGTCTGTTTCAGCACAGGTGGGTCTGCTGAGAATACAGGAAAGCTTACATACGTTCCCCTCCAAGCCCACGGTCTCGTGGGGAGGTGACTCAAGTGTTGCAGGTATCCAAAAAATTGCTAATCTGGGCATATGCCGTTCTCTTGAGAAAGTCTGGAGAGTTTTGGAGCAGTGGAGTTCTGTTTGTTCTTAGAATTTCTCCTGGACAACCATACTTTATCTGAGAAAGGCGTTTTATAAAATAGGGTATAGCATTGGAGTAAAATTGCTTGCCCCAAGCCTTTAACACTCCTTCTCTTTCTGGTCATCTTCCAGTTTAAAATATTAAAGCATATGTGCAAGTGTTTTCTTGTAGTCAAACACTTGTATTGTCTTTGCAAAAGCAGTTCATTCTACGGTTTTATAATTGCTGGCAAAGAGAATGAGACCTTACTCTCTTTCTGCTGTTCACTTGACCTTCTCTGTTTTGTGGCGTATGATTGTTTGAATAATCATAAACCATAAAATAACCCTTTTGATAAATTGGTACCCATTTGGGGGCTTTAAATGGGCTTGGTACTTCCTGCCTTCACAGCTGGGGGTGTATGTGCCTGAGATAAAAGCACGGATGTCTTCGCCCGGGATAGCATTGCGAAGCGTTACTGGCTAATTCCTTTATCCCAGTAAATAGGACAGCAACACCAGGGTGTTGGCTTGAACACTTGGGCGTGCCTGGCAGAGGAATGACATACCGCAGAGGAGTGACCGCATCAGCTTAGTCCTGAACGCGTCTCTCTGCGATCGAACAAATCATCTGGCTGCCCAAGTTCCTTTGCAGTGCTGCAGAGCAAAATACTGCTCCGGCCTCGGTGTTAACAACACTTCATGTTTAGCACAGCTGCGTGGAAGAGAAGAAATAATGAAGAAGGGTTGTCGAACAGAGGCGCTGGGCTCAGCGACGCTCCTGCGTCGAGTAGGAGCCACCGCAGCCCGGCGTGACTGTTCTGCCGTGCCCGGGCTCCGCGGAACGCCCGGCTCTTGGGCTGCACGATACCTGGAAGCGTCCGTTTATCAAAACGGTCGTTCAGTTTGCCAGCAGTTAATACTACAAGGTGTGAGATGAGTATTTCACAGTGGGGCAGCATCGTGTTTTGCTTTCATTTGTTAACTGCTGGGTCTGCGCTTCTTTTCACAGTTCAGCTTTCAGCTCAATTACAAAGAAGTTTTGCTGTCTCTGGTCCTTCCCCCCCGCCCCGCTTTGTTTTCCATGTTATCTTTGTTTTAAATGTAGATAACCAATAAGGTACCTCTTACTTCTCTTACAGAATTTTCTCTTTCCTGGATGTGGTCACTCTGTGTCGTTGCGCTCAAGTTTCCAGGGTAAGACCCTTCCTCCTTGCTGGTGGATTTTAACGGTTGGATTTGGGTGACGATCCTCTCGCTCCAGCCTTCCCTAACGTGTCAGGCCGGGAGGGTTTGTACCAGGGAACTTTGTGCAGCTCAACTGTTGTCACTTACTGTCCCGTATTACGGCTGCAATACCAGAAACTTCTGATGGCACCAGTGAAGGGAGACTCAAAGCTTGAATATCATTTTGCCGGTGTCCCAGGCCCTGAGCAGGTTACGCAGGGGAGGTTGCTGACTTTTTGCCAGAGAACTCTCCGGTCAGCCTGGGTTTGTGCAGGAGGCCTGCGCTGATCAAAATGCCAAACTTGGATGAACCTAAAATGGCATCTTGTGGGTTTTGGTGGAGATGCAGAAATTTTGATTGACAAAGATGCTGCACAGTCAATTAAAGTTTACTTTCCTACTCGGATGTAGTTGAAGTGAGCATGGAAGAAAAAAATTAGTATCAGTTTTGTTTAGGGTGGTTTTTTTTCCTTAAGTAGCTCACAGTTTTGAAATCCAACTTGGATTATTCATTGGGAAAATTCCTTCAGCTGCAGGTCTGGTTATCTAGAGCTACCAGACTTGTTCAGATACTTTATCCTTTATCCTGCCAGTATCTAATGAGACACACGGAGGAAGCATTACTACAGCAAGAGCGGGAAGTCGGTCACACAGGAAGGTGATTGTAGTGGTGCGTTCACCGTACTGGCAGAGCTGGTGCTGAGTGACACCTGTACAAAGCTGATCAATCCTGGGTCCAAACTTGAATCATAACTTCTTTCATTATTCAGACTACATAAGAATAATGAAGGCTATTCTTAAACATTTTTAATCGTGTTAAAAATATCCTGCGTGATGTCTAGGCATTACGGTTATCATCCCATGTTCTCTGAATAACATAGGTCTTCTAGTGAAAGATCTTCCAGCTGAAACTCGCTGCTCCAGCAGGACAAGGTTGACCAAAACGGGCTGTCCGTGGCACTTGCCAGTGTTGAGGTGTACTGCCGTTTCTGTCACTTGCTCCTGCTTACGCAGTCCGCAGGGCGTCAGAGGATGTATTGGTCATTATGCGACACGGCGTAATGTAAAGGACTAAAGTGTCTGCACGGAGCTCCAGAAAGGCTGTATGTAACGTTGCTTACATTACACATTAAAATATGCTGTGTTATAACCCGCATCCACTGATGCGTTTCTTTTCCACTGGAGCTATTGCTTTTCCTGTGGCGATAACTAGACCTTAAAACAAGTATCAGCAATGAGAGGTAAAACGCAGAAAATCAATTAATGCTTACAGTTCTGTCAGCTCTTCTAAGTCTATACGTGGCTTGCACAAGAGCTTGTATACTGTGATGGAGATGCAGCTTAGTGCGTGTAATAGATGTAGTATAAAAACATGCCTAAATACATATACATGCACTCTTTCATAACGATGGACTCATGGTTATTATGAGATCTAGTTGTTTACTTTGATTACGTAATTAAAACTTCACGTATAGTACTGTGTTGACAACCTTTTTGATTCATTAGGGGCAGAACTACTAACTTTCAGTTCCTGCTTCTCATTTGTAGCGTGAACCACATGAGGGTTTTTTTGTTTGTTTGCATGTTTAAAAACCAAAACGAGTCAGAGGTAGTAAACGCTGTCACCGCAGCAGCGGTGCCTAGTTCTCAGGTAAGAGCTGGATGCTTTCTCTGGACAGCTTACAAAGCTCCGAATTACAAAGCTTTGAATTTCTCCCTCTGTGGGACACAGCAGCCCGCGCGCCAAGCTCTGGAACTGCCTCGAACTGCTGGAGGCAAGAGAGGAGGTGTGCAAGATGACAGCCTCGCCCCCCGTGGTGGGATCTCACCGCACAGTCCTCCATCCCAGCGCCACCGAGTCCTCCGCGCCCTCAGGCTAGCTTCACGTCTCTTGCCAGGGTAGATGCCTGGTGTAGGGTCTCCTCTGGGACTCACCCATGTCCTGGTATCCTTCATCTTCATGTTGGTCCTGCTAGCATCCTCTAAAGGCGCTGGTTTAGCTGGCGATGCTGCAGAGGGGATAAAATTCCAGCCGGGACCGTGAAGATGCCCACGCTCCAGCACTGCCTCCGGTCCTGGGCTCAGCACCTACGCCTCCCGCGGGAGCAGAAGCGGCTGGGCACCGCGGGCTTGCCTGTTGTGGGGACTTGCGAAGAGTGTGCCGTGTAGATGAGGGGACTCTTGTCCGAGCAAGTGATTCTGGTAACTGCACAGTTTTCCTTGTTGGCTGTAATTACTTGTTGCTTTAACATCTGAGACAGAATGTTGTTTCTAGAAGGAACAAATTGTAACTAGGTCCCCACTGGCGTTTTTTTTTCATATTAACAACACATTTACATTTTTTCCTCCGATAAAGGCATGGAATGTTCTGGCCCTGGATGGCAGTAACTGGCAGCGAATTGACCTGTTTGATTTCCAGAGGGATATTGAGGTATAATTAAGTGACATACAAACCCATTTTTCTTGTTAAAATGTAATTACAGCCTAGAATGGATTAATACTCCCAGCGTAACCCTCTTTACCTTCCCTGGAGATAGAAATCATTAATTTCAGTTCTTCTTAGCTTCAGGGAGTCTTTAAAGTCTTGGCAATCCATTCAGCTTTTGAAAATGGACGGAATTATATATCTGTATCAAGACTTAAAGGTAGTAATAGAAAGAAAGCATTTATGTGTGCATTCTGAAAGCGGAAATAAGTAAAATAGGTATGTTCTTGTGGAAAACTACTACTTCTGTATAGCAAAATGTAGGCTGCTTTATCCTTTCGCTCAGAGGGATGTTAACATAGCACAGACTTAGACCACTGAGACTCTGAGTGTCCTTTGAAATGGCCTGGAATATGTCTATCCTTTCCTGTCTATCTTTAATATCAAAAACTGAAATGTAAGCGAAGATGATTCAAGGCTACGAGGTCACAATTGTTCGTAAAAGATGCAGCTTTGGAAATGCTTCATTGTAGCTGCTCTAAATCTGTTAGATGTGGACTACTCGGCCCTGATAGGAATGGATGCTGTTGTCATGCTGTTCTGAAAATTCAGATTGCATTAATCAGGATAAGAGACCAAAAAAAAAACCCCCTTCAGTTTCTTACCAGAATGTTACATCCTCTTTAAAACGTGTTGGAGGAAGGAGATAGGCAGCGTATCATTTTAACTCGCTTTAGACAGAGGCATAAACTAGATGATGACTGAAGATTCACACCTTGTGGGGACTGGTGAGAAATACACCCATTATTTGTGGAGGAAAGGGTTAAAATAATCTCTTTCTGCCAGCTGTGTATCTAAGCAGCTGAGATGCACGGATAAAGGAACAGGCCTGTGATACGGAGAGGACTTCTGCATGCTTGCAGGCGTCTAAGCGGCCCGAGACTTCTTGGAGGAAGTAAATGGTGTGATTTTTGTTCTTGAGAATAAATACGTTCTCTCTTAGCATGCCCTGAAAGTTCTGGCCCCATATAATTATTTACTTGCATAGAGGTAGAGCAAAGTTGTCGGTGGTGCCAGGTCCGTGGAGTAGCAGGAAACGTGGACAGAGCTGCTCATCCCTGCTGCTGTCGTCGGTCCGTGTAGCAGGGAGAGGGGCAGGGGTGCTGTGAATACAAACTAGGCTTTTCTCATTCCTGAGTGGTTTTTGCCTGGCTTTAATGTCTCTTTGTTCTCTGACACCACTCTATACGTCAAACGCATGTTCTTGCGGAAGCACCGACTTCCCCTTCTAAAACAAAATGCTTGAATGTGTTGTACCTAACCTAAAAGTACCTGCTAGACTTTCTGATGTCCTAAATGTCGTTTGCTTTAAAAGAATGTGAATCCTGTATCTTACACAAACGTGTTTGAATCCTCTAATTCAAGCATATGAATTCATGGGCTTGGTAGAGGAATTGTAAAAACATGCTGACTGTTTCAGATTCTCCAGCCCTTCTACACGGATGTGCAGGTCGAGCTTCGGTCCTCCGTCAGCCTTCAGCCAGGGCAGTGCGTCGGCAGTACGCCGCGGCGATAGAGCTGCTCCCATAGCCCCTGAAAGCGCGTGGCCAGATGTCACCAGAAGCTCGTGCAGGGATCTAGTTAAGCCGGTGTCCCTTTTTTGATTGTGGTATTACGTTGTGCCAAGCCTGATGCCTGGTATCTTTTTTTGGACTGGAAAAAGATTACGGAAGAATATCTTCATCGTTAAAGAGGTCTGAAATGCCAACTAGTGCTTGAACCAAGTGATGCTCCCTGTTCTGTGATGAACAACCACGTAGACTAAGGTAGAGGGGAAGGCTTTTGAGTTTCCGGACGCTGATACAAATATTCCCCCAATGGTTTTTGCACTTCATTAGCAGTGAGAAATAGCTGGGTGAATGCTAGCTTGTAGTGGGGTCTTTGGAGGCTCCCACTGATCACAAATGTGAAATGAAAAAAGCGTTTTTCTAGATCTCTTACACAGATTTTTGTAATCACTTTTTCTGTGAGAATAAAACTTACAGGCTGGCTCTGCCTCATCTCTATTTTGAATAGAAAGTTAAGTATATCCATTTATAGTACATTGACTGTACTTATTTGTAAATCTTCCTGCCCATGTTGTAGCAATGGCATTGCTTCTTTCATCTTCCTTTGGTAGTCTGTATCGATGTCCAGGAGGACACTGGAGGAAGTTCCTCAGTCATTAGCCTGAACGGCTTTAGGTAATTGTTCCTTGTCTCTCCATCTTCAGAAGCTGAATAATTCTCCCTCTCCCTGCCTTAGATTATTATCATGACATTTTTATTTTCTTAGCACTGTTTTACCTAGAATAACAAACTGTTGTTAATCTGCAAAATTCTGAATTCAACTTTCTGAATGATCAGGTGACTTCTGGATTTTAATGTAATTCTTTCTGTCTCCGACAGGGCCGAGTAGTTGAGAATATTTCTAAAAGATGTGGGGGTTTCTTGCGGAAGTTAAGCCTGCGAGGCTGTCTAGGAGTAGGAGACAATGCATTAAGGTAGTGGTATGGCTTCTATCTGTGCTTAAATGCGATGTAAAGAATGATTCAGCTTTTACCTCCACAGAGGATTGGAATAATTTATGAACACTTTGGAGCGGAGTTCTTTAGCCCGTGTGTCTAACTTAAAACGTCGAGAGTGGTAACATATAAGCCTTTTTAAATTCTCATTTTTTAACTTCACACAGTAGCCGTTTTTCTCAGTCCTCATTAAAATAATGCCAGCTGCTGCTATGAGCTAAGTTGTAATTGGCACTGAATTGCAAGCTTTTGCCTTTAGGCACAGAAATCCCAAGGCAAGATACGGGGCAATATGAATTAGTCATTTTGCTTATTTATTTGTTGTGTTTGAGACAATTTAGTAAAATCGTCTCTGTGTTTGGGTTAAAACAAATGCTGTAAAACAACCGGAAGTCTGTTGCCTGAAAAATACTGTGTTTTCCCTTTCCTTTAATAAAGGACGTTTGCGCAGAACTGCAGAAATATTGAAGTTTTGAACCTAAATGGCTGTACCAAGATCACAGACGCGTAAGTTCTTTTCTGTTTGCCCTGCCATCCCCTTTTCTGTGTGCACCATGTTAGATTCTCCATCCCTTTTGTTAAGGGAAGGCCAGGCTTGTCCCTGCGGTAGATAATACAATGCGTGTCATGATACGGATATGACTTTGAGTGAATCCATTGCATGAGCGTGTCTTGTATGCTCTCTTTCAGCACATGTACCAGCCTCAGTAAGTTCTGCTCTAAACTCAGGCACCTCGATTTGGCTTCCTGCACTTCCATAACCAACCTGTCCCTGAAAGCACTAAGGTAGGCGTCAACAACATTGACTTTTGCCGGTTGATTCCCGATAGCGTGACCCACCGTTGCCCCGTGTGCCTTGGAGCAGACTGACAGAGGCTGAGGGGTAGCTGCGATTAGAATTTGGGTATTCCCCAGCAGAGCTTGACGTTCGCACCTTGTGCCTCCTGGTTTGCTGAGACAGAGGAGGAGGACTGGGTAAAAGCTGCCCTCAACGTTGTCTGTATCTGTCCTGATGGTTATTGGCAGTAGAAGAAGAATGATACTCTATTAATGTCTTGGAGGAGGGATTTTGGGGGAGACTAAAGTCTTAGTCTGCCTTTTTAAAATGCTTGTTTACTAACTGTCAGCTTCTTCATTGTAAGTGTACCATTGCGTACTTAGTGCTTGTTTACGTAGCTAGAAGGCGAACACCAGCATGTGACTATTTGTCTTTTTAAACTGCTTAGGAGACATATAACTGCTTAAATCTGCTAAATGGAATTGCCAAGTAATCTAGAAAAGGAAGGGACAGACAGACATTGGTGGGAAGATATTGGGACAGAGAAAAGGAGGCAAAAAAACCTAAAGGTAACAATAGAGGCCAAGCGATTTAAAAAAAAAAAAATTTTCAAGTGATATACCAGTGGAACAAAAGAAAATACAGGAAAGCTGTATCACAGGAAAAAAAATACTGGAGGATGAATCTAGACACCAGAAGAAAACACAAGATTTGAAAGAACAAATGAATGATTAAATCATTTTTGTAGCTACATTAGAATACTTTGAGCCTGGTTTTTCCTTCCTTTGAGGGTCTTCATTCCTTGTTTCTAATCTCACATGGTCAAATTTGCGCTGCAGCTATCTTAAATACGTGATAGCATGTATATCTCTTCCTAATTGCAAATGACGCTTGAGTGTAACTCCTGGCAGCTATTTGCAAACGCAAAGTTACAGCTGGGAAGTTAGAAGCAGCATGGCAGAAATAGCCCCTGGTTTGGGGTTTGGTTGTATTCAGATCCAGAAAGCCCAGAAACAGTGTCTGTCCTCGTATAGGAGCTGGGAGGTGTCCGAAAGGGGATAAATTGCTTGTCTTTTACACCGCTGATGCCCTGCTTTAGAGCTCCTGATACTGCCTCTGGAGAGCGCTTCACATCTGGAGCTGGTGTTTGACAGAAGCGTTCCCTGTGGGGGTGTGGGGCATGGGCGTACGTCTGTGCTCACGTGGGTGCCAGGAATGGGAATTTCCTAGATTCTGGCTTGAAGCAGGATTTCTTTCCAAGACAAAACCAAGTTTCCACATGTTTTTCCTTTCACCTCCAAAGTGAGGGATGCCCATTGCTGGAACAGCTGAATATCTCCTGGTGCGACCAAGTGACTAAGGACGGCATCCAGGCTCTGGTGAGAGGCTGTGGTGGACTCAAAGCCCTGTTTCTGAAAGGTTGCACGCAGGTACGGCTCTATGGAGAGTGCTCAAATTGAGTCACAGCTGGCTTATTTCTGCTGTAACTGAAAAGTACAGAGATGAAGTATTGTGGATTTTTCTGTTTCCAGAAATGTTACGTGACTGAAATTACTCAGAATCTGTCTGTTGGAGATTAACTGCTTTTATTGAAATTCTTTAATAACTTTGAGGTCGGCGTGAATAGTGGGACAGTAGACAAATTGCGTATCTAGCTGTAGAATCATTCTTCTTTTTTCCCATCGGGAACACACTGAGCAAACTTTTTTAAAGAGGTGATAACTTTCGTGGCCAGATCCATCCATTTCCGAAGGCTCAGAAAATTTCAGAAAGCCTGACAGTAGTTTCATCTGCGCTGGTGATAGAATTTTCTCTATGTGTTATTTGGATCTTCTGGTTAGTCAAAGAGAATCGCTGTGTATGTGACTCCTTGAAAAGACGTCTCTGCAGCCAGTCAGGAACGTCGTACTATCGTCGTACACCTCTTGAGCTATAACGGTGTATTTTGAAGAGGCTGCAGAGACTGTGATGCTTGTACTTTGGAATATATAAATGGTGCACTAACTCTGACAGCAGAAAGAATTGGGGTTTTTTTTCCCCCCTTGTAACTGTTTTTGTTATTTAGTCTAAGCTCCTTTAATCTTTCTTTACTGTCTTACCTGGAGAATCATTGAAGGTTTAGCATGTTAAATACTTACCTGTATTACAACTTTACTGAGGAGTTGTATCAATTATGAACGGGCGTGGGGAACATTACCCGTGAGCACTACTCATTTAATGAGGAAGAGCTCCTTGCAAAGCTATTTCACAAAGAATGTGGGGACTAATTCTTAATTTTTTTTACTTAAGTGGGCTGGGGTCTTTTTAATGCAGACAGGCTACAAAGGAGCAAACGTGTATCTCGGAATCTTGTCCTTGAAAAAGGAGAGTAAAAGTGACCCCACAGGAATGGAAACCTGTGACCCAGAGACTCCCAAGAGTTTGGGAGCTTCAAGGTAGACTTGGAAAATGATCTCTGATCTCTTGGGTCCTTGTAGCTGAACACTCACAGTGCTTATTGTTTTGGATTTGTTTTTTTTTTCCTAGGATTCGTTAAGTACGAGTCAATAAGTGCCATTTTTGTCTGCTGTGTAGAGATAAACAGCTATATGTTTTTCTTCTGCAAAAAGCATATTTCTTCTGGGCATGGACACGCGAGGTCCTGAAAGGTTATGATGATAAGCAAAGCAATAATGCTCTGGTTATGTGCACAGAGCAGTAATACCCTTGCGTGCCCAAGAAGGCCCAGCTGTAAGGGCTGTAGTCAGTAGTTGTTCTAAATTTATACTCCTGTTGGCTTTTTAATATGTGAGATGGGTATACATGGCTGTAAAAATGACTTGATTAAAGATATAACAATCTCAGCCTATTTTGAGAATTCAGGTCAGAGAAACAGCTTGCGTTTCTAGTAATTTATGGAGTCGTGAGTAATATTGATGGCAATACATTCTTGTTATCAATTACTTGCCATCTGTTCTTATAGATTTAAGAATAGCAGGCGCTTTTATCATCAGAAAGCAACCTGGATATGTTTGTGCTCCTCACATTGAAATAAGACTTTTTTTTTTTTTGTTCCAGTATTGCAATATAAAAATAGTGTTACTTATAGGCCCTCACTAGTGAAGCGTTTCCTTAATTCCTGTAAATAGTTCCTGATTTCACTACTTGCTTTGTTAATTATGCATGTTTGATCAGCTCATCTTTTCTTTAAATCAGTAACTCAGTGTTGTGGGTCTTTGAACTCTGTTCCTGAGATGGTAAAAAAAAAAGACACAGTTGTTGCTGTATATTTTGAGACTGCAGTGTGTTGCCTTCCTCCCCCATAGGTATCCAAACCACAGATGCTTTATTGTTCTCAAAGCTTTATGTTGAAGATTGCTTCAAGTATTAACGGGTTGTTTCAGTCTCTAATTTTTTCTTTCCAGCTTGAGGATGAAGCTCTGAAGTACATTGGTGCACATTGTCCTGAACTGGTGACGTTAAACCTTCAAACATGCTTAGTAAGTAAAGCTTCCTGTGATTTCCCAGCTCAGCCATCGTTGTGCATTTAGAGGCCATCTCTAAGCAGAACGATGCAGAATGTACTCCATCCCAGAAACGTCATCATCTGTGCAGACACGGCATTTTAGTCTCGTAAACTTACGAGATTTTAAAAATAGTTGATGAAAAACATCTTTTTGGTAGTTCAGCAATGTTGAATAGGCCCCCGAAACAGTGTCATAGCATGCGCTTTGTCAGAATTGTTTGTCTCTCTGCCCTGCCCACGGGGCTTCTAAACTCATTTGCAGGACTAGCTGGAAAAATTCTTTCCACTGGGCTGGAGTGTTTGTGCGGTGATCTAGCCAGGCAGTTCCTCTGGTCTTTTTATAAAATGGAACCAAGAAGTGCAGTTTCCCTGCACAGAAGGGCTCTAAACCAGTTATTCTGCAGTGCCAAAAATGTATATTTGTGCCAAAAAAAAAAAAAAGAAATTGGAACGGGCTCTTTGTACGAACCGTCATGCAGTTAGTCTGATGCAGTCTGATGCAGTGAGTAACTGGACAGTCTCTTCCTTTTCCACAGAAGTGGGCAAGGGCTGCGGGGCTGTCCTGTCGCAGCCCTATTTAGGGAGAAGCTTTACCAGTTACTAGACTGGCTAGAGACTGGAGCCCATCCACCTGAGACTGGGCGCTTGCCGAGGAGGAGCTGGACTGTTAGCAGGTTCCAGACCCACATCTGGCATCTAGGGGAGAGGCAAGCAGGTGGAAGGGGGAAGAAAACTAATGTGGTTCTTGATTGCCTTAACTGAAAATACCAAGTTCTGCTCACTTTCTGTTTCATTTCACTCCAGAACTTGGGCTTATCAGCCCACGGACTCGCTGTTTGCTATCTTAAAAGAAGCAGTGCCAGTCTCTGGGTTGGTGCTTTTCTGTAGGAATTGAGTCTGGCTGCTTCTGAAAACCCCGAACCGAAGAACTGAGTGAGGTTTAACCTGGTGCTCCAGCATGCACAGCCTCTGCCACCTATTACCCCTTTTTCCCTCATCCCGCTGCGTGCGGGATCCCGGCTTTGATCCCGTGCGGCGCCTTGGCACAGCCGTGCCGAGTCCCGGCCCTTACTTACGTGCTCTTACTCATGTGGGGACACATCTGGAGCAGATTTGTGCACTGTTGCCAGCCCAGAGTTGTGAGCAGAGCACATGGGGCCGGACGGCCCCTGTGTGTCCAGGGATGCGGCGGGTCGATGGAGCTGCTGTGCCACAGGGTGAATTTAAGGTGATTTGGGCTGTAAGCTTGTCTCTCATGGCTCAGGTTTTGGTCCCAAACCACTGAAGTGTATTTTTAAAATGCTGTTTGTGAAAACAACCTGCTGCTTATTTTGTGGGTAACTCTGTTAGGTGCTTCCTTGTCTTGAGTTTCAGCCAAGAAGGTTTTTAGAAGGAAGGCAGGAGGCTGAGTCCAGGCCTGCCGCTGCCGTGCCTTCCCCCATCGCTCACGTGGCCCAAGCTCAGAAACATTTCCGTGCATGTGGAATCACTTTCTGAATGTTTACAAGTCACTTCAGTGTGGCTTACCCTGTTTCAGCTGCTCCAGTGAAATATGTGAATGCATTTTTGGGTTGAAAGTAGCATAACTTGGCCTCAGTTAAGTGCCTGGTTGGAAGTCTGAGAAGGAAAATATGCAGTGCCTTGCACTTCCACCTACGTTGTTATGGCTTGTGATGTTGTTTATTGTTTTTCTTGTAGCAAATAACAGATGATGGTCTCATTACAATATGCAGAGGATGCCACAAGTTACAATCCTTGTGTGCTTCAGGCTGCTCTAACATTACAGATGCCATCTTGAATGCCCTGGGACAGAACTGCCCAAGGCTTAGGTAAGTTTTCACCGCAGTTACCCGAGCTCCAGTGACCCGTTGCATGTTGAGCAAAGGATCTTGGTGACATGGTCGCTTAATATTTGAGCTGGTTTAGACTCTGAAGGTCTTTCTGAAAGGGCACTTCTTATCACTGAGCGTTTTCCAGGCATTTGCTGTGGCACGATCGTAGTTTGACCCAAACTTCTGGCTTCTAAACTTGTGCGAGTAAAACAGTGGTAAAAGAGCTCCATGCCGTGGTGGTGTGCCCTGCCAGTAGACTCGCTTAGTAGCAGTCTCCTTTTACTCCATTGTGTATCCACTTTTGTTCTTTTATGAAAAACAGTTGAGGTTGGGGTACTTTTGTATTGAGAACTGAAAACACATTTAAACAACATTGTTACCTCTTGACATGTGATACTAACAGGGTTTTCACGATGATTTTGTCGCAGATGGAATTTGTGCTTTCACTCTGCTTGACAGAGTGCGCTTCCAGTGACATCTCTGCAGGTGTTGGCTCTTTTTTTTATTTTTTAAGACCTTTTTTTAATTAGGACAGGTTTCTTCAGGAAGACTTCGCTATAATTCAGAAAATGGCCAGGTGCAGAAAGAAGAGGCTGTTCTATTATCTGACATCTGTAACAGCTGAGTGGCCTGTCTTAAATGGCATGAAATACATGTCTTCCAGGGAAAAAAACCCCACACAATTGTTTTCTGTGATAAGCTCGTTTAAAAAATTATGGGTACAAAGTGCAGCGTACAAGTGTATGGAAACCAGTTTTGAAAGAGGAAGGTAAAACATGATTTTGGTTCCAAGCGGTTTCTCTGTTCATGTTCCGATTCAGCTGCAGCTTTACAGTATTAAGCTCTGTACAGTAAAATGCACAACGCACTGTAGGCAAGTTGCCTTTCTTTTCTGTAAAGGTAGATAAATACGATAACATTGTAAAGCAAACCTCTGTAGACCTGCGGTAACTGCCAGAAAGAGTTCTTTCTAGAACTGCCAGAAAGTTTATCTGTTGTCACAGAAGCAAGCAGTTTGCCTCTCGGAAGACTTCAGACTCTTCTGTGGTGGCATGAAATATATATTCTTTCATGCCCATCTGCCAGGTTGTCATGTATCAGACCCTTTTTCATGATGAGATCTGTATTTTGGGTGGAAACCAGAGGAGGTCACCTGGGGAGGTTGTGGAGTATCCAGCAATGGAGGTTTTTAAGAGCACCTTAGTCCAACATTTGTCGGATTAAACCTCCCTGCCTCGTAGCGGGTTACGGACTGGATGGCCCTTGGAGTTCCCTTTTCGCCTGACTTCTTTTTTTCTTTCCCTGTGACCTACACTCAGGTATAGAGGGTGGATGCTCTGTGCAAATTATCCGCTCAGAGAGCACAGCCTAAACCGGGTCAAACTTTTCTGGGTTGCTGGAAGCTTTTAATGAAACACTCTGAAAAGCAAAATGACTCCACCATGGTTATTATAAATTCTTTCTGTGCAGAATATTAGAAGTTGCAAGGTGTTCTCAACTAACAGATGTGGGCTTTACCACTCTAGCTAGGGTAAGTGCTCATTTCCACTTTTTCATCAAGTATCTTTGCTTTCTTTTTGTGATGGATATGAACGAACAGAAGCTTTCTCTTGAATGTAGATTTTTGTAATGCTCTTGGTCTCGATGTTTGAGTGGAAGTTAAGTGACAAAAATTGTATGTAATCTTTGGCATTGTCCTGACACACACATCTAGGAGGATGTGCATCCAAACTACATGAAATGTGAAATACTTGAGAGTTACAAAGTTTACTGTTTGTTTTTCTAGATTAATCTGTGTTCTATACAACTGACCCTAAATGTAACCTTCTTTACTTTTTATGAATAAAAATCCTCAGTGCCTTTTAAACGAGTGAAATTGCTAGATTTCTTTTAGTATATTTAGCAGTGTTCTTAAAGCAGCAGCACACTTTCAGTCATGTTTCATGAAGGAAAAACTTCCATTTTTAAAAAGGACTGGTTTATTGTAGTTGTGTTTATATTTGCTGTCTGAACTTTGCACTTAGTTTGTGTGTTCAATCTTTTGTTTGTTTCTAGAACTGCCATGAACTTGAAAAAATGGACCTGGAAGAGTGTGTCCAGGTAGGAGGTGCCACCTCTGGCTATTACTTTTTTTTTTTTTTAGCACAGTCACAGCTGTGTGGAAAAAGTAGATTTAGAAATTGGAACTTGATTTAGAATCCTGAGCAAGAAGATGAGATATATTTGGATTAAAAAATACCGCTTTTGTAGTTTGATCCTTTGTTCATGTTTCATAGTAATGAATGCCGCTGTAAATAATGAAAGAAATCTTTAATAGTAATAGATGTGTCCTGAAGGTCACGTAATAGATGTGTGAATTGTGACCCTTGACACAGGATAAATCCCAGAGTAAGATCTTTTCTCATAAGGCAGGGTAAGGTTTGTGCTACATATATTGCTAGAAATAATGGAAGTTACCTCTGTTTTGAAAAAACATAGCCAGGTGGTTTGAACAGTAATGGTATTACAGAGGACATGGCAACAACTTGAAATAAAGCTGGGGTGTCCACGCTAGCGTTAGCCTTCCTCAGAGGCAGTGGGACGTAACGTAATGGGTCTGTTACTGTCGCCTCTCTGGATAACCCTGTGCTGCGGCTGTCTTCATGAGTTTTGGGGAGGTCTCTCCTATGTGACCACACGCTGCCCTGTAGGGTATGTGCCATCAGCTGATAACCGCTTCAAGGTAGCATTTGCGGGGGAAAAGAGTTGAATTTACTCAAGACGCCATGAAAAATGTCTCACCCTAAGGATAGACTTGAAATGGATTTAGATGAAGACAGTGGAGATAATAGGATTCTGCTTCCTGCCATGAGAACAGCGTCACCCCGCTATTCTGTACTTCCTGATGCTTACAGGGCAGAAATTCAGGAGCTCACAAGAGGAAATTACAATAGTCCAGACAGGAAGTGATTTAAAGTTAACCCAAAAAAGGAAGAAGAATTGGGCTGTGTCCTTGGACTGACTGCGCTGAACAAAGACAGCCCAGCAAGTTCCCTTCTGAATGCTTTTAGATTAGAAAGCCATTGTGCTGAATCTCCTTCTTCCTGAAGGCTAAAGAGGAACAATTCAGCAATCCACCGAGCTGCTGGAAGGGGATTTGGACACCTCTTGTACCTTGAGTCAAAACGTTTTAGGAGACGTTGTGGTGTTGAAGAGATCTGCTCACTTCTTCTCTAAACTGTGAGCTTATTTCATGAGAGCTACTTAAGGAGGTTCAAAAAACCAGCAATACCTGTGTCTTAACACTCCTTTAAGGACATGAGTTGATTTCTGTAAGGGAGTGGAAGAATCTGTACATCTGAAATTTGGTCACGCAGGAGATGAGTTCCTGAGGGACTCAGGAGTGTGACTGTGGGGAACACACAGATTAGGCAAAAGTTTGCAATCCTTCTTTCATAGCAGGGGAAAAAAAAGTCCTTGTGCAGAGGGCCCAGCATGAAAGGACTTTTTCTTTTTTTTTTTTTTTCCCCCAGATAACAGACAGTACACTAATCCAGCTTTCAATACACTGTCCACGGCTTCAGGTTCTGGTGAGTATTATAAGTGAGACTTTCAGCATTTTCTTTCTATAAACAGAGGGATTTTAAGCACTGCCTGTGGGGATTTGTCTCTCTGACTTCATAGACGTGTTGCGAAGGCTTGGAAGAATCTGGCTAGAACCTTGACCCTAAAGAACCTATTGTCCCTCCCCTACTGCTAGCATTAATCGTATGCCAGGCACCCAGAGCTGCCTGAAAATGAATTATAGGACACTGGATTCTCCTGGTACCAGCTTCTGGCTGTCCTCGGCCAGCCTAGCAGAATCTGTCTACAAACCAGGCTGTCAGTCCGTCTGTAGGAGAGGGGACTGCAGCCCTTCCCACCTGTAGTATGGAGCTGGGCAGCTGAGACCTGGAAAGCTTGCTGGCTCTGGAAAGCCATGTTCCTCTTGGTCTAAATTTCTGGGAATTTAGTTTCGGTCTCCTCTGTGTCTGTGTGTGTATTGCTCCCTTGTCATCATGAGAAAACCTGTCCTGGGAGGTAGGGGAATGCAGTCAGTGGGTTCCCTGTGCAGCCATCCCTTCTGCTTGCTGTGCCCCTCAACAAAGCAACAGACGGGTGCTACCTCCCAGCTCAAGCCCTGCTTCCTCCTCAAGAACTTCTAAGATGCAGCCTGTCAAAAAATGCAGCAAGGAGGTGACGCTGTATTGCTGCTGGTTCTTAGACCCAATAACAGGGTCCTTCCCATGATGTGTAAGGCCACACATTTTACAAAGGCGCTTTCTTCAATAGCAGAGAGTATATATTGTATTTCTGTGCCGTCCTGGCCCCATGGGTCTCATCTTTCAGCAGCTGCCTTTCCTGTTGCGCTTCAGCTATGAGTTTTCCCCTTGCAGGCACGTTAGTCATCGGAGGCCCACGGAGCCCAGTGCCTGCAGTCTGGAATGCAGCAGTGGCTCCAGTGCAGGCAGGGAGTATAGACCTGTCCAAAATGCCAGTGTGGCAAACCAGTCCAAACCTGTGAAATGTGGGCCATCTTCTCTCTTGTCCCACGGTGTCTGCTGGCAGGGTGTTGGCTTGTTTGGCCGTGGCAGAGGCTGCTAACTCGCTCTCTTTGGATGCAGAGTTTGTCCCACTGTGAGCTGATCACGGACGATGGGATTCGTCACTTGGGAAACGGAGCCTGCGCACACGACCGCTTGGAAGTGATCGAGCTGGACAACTGCCCTTTGATCACGGACGCCTCCCTGGAGCACCTGAAAAGCTGCCACAGCTTGGAGAGGATAGAACTGTACGACTGTCAGCAAATCACGCGGGCAGGGATCAAGAGACTCAGGGTAAAAAAAAAAAAAAAAAAGTAATAAATTAAAACACCGCTAAGGGTACGACTTGAACGCTGTATCTGGTGGGAGGAGGGAGGGCTGAGGTTTCAGATTCCTTGTGATCTGGTGCTCATTCTTAAAAGTATCGTGAGAACCATCATCTATGAAATTAATAGCTGTCCTGCACTCGAAAGATTGGTTGGGGATGAATGCTAGCTGGCAGGGAAGAGCGATAATTGCTGCGTTCACTGAGTAGCGGTAGCAGAAAGGAGCAGAGGAGACCCAGCGTGCAAGTGCTCATTTTACAAGCGCTCGTACATGACAGTGCTCTCCTAAAGGTGGGACCGAGAGTTAGTGCCACAGCAAATGTGTAGAAGGGCACCTCCTCTCGACTACTTTAGATGCTCAGCGTAGACTGCAGTGCGCTTTGTGCTGACGCTTCTCATAAATAACTCAGCTACTCCTGTAATAAAGCCGGTCTGTTGTAGGGGAGGTTGCAAGGCCTTGTGAGTGGGACAGAGCCAGGGCCACTGTGTCACTAGCTGCTGGCCATCTAAGGCACTCTGTGTCCCCGCGCTTCCCTCCTGGGTCTATTTCTCCATCTGGAAAAGAGGAGTAATGAGAACGCTTTATTTGCAAAGAGAACGCGGATCCGTACAGGTAGAAGTTGTTCTGTTCCCCACGGCTACCGCAGGATTAGCCGCGAGGAAGGAGCGGCATGTTTTCTTAGTGCCTGTACCTTTGTTTTCTGGTAACGGAACTTGCTAATCCGCGCTCTGCGGGGAGATCGTGCTGGTGAACTGAAAGAGTTCGACTCTAGTTTTCACGTGTGCGTTAGTTTGTAGTCTGAAGACGAGCGGGCCAGGCCCGTTTCAGCCTCTCTGGCTCTTGCGCTGCCACTACCCTGCTCACTTTACACGTTGTGCTTGTCTTTTCAGACCCATTTACCCAATATTAAAGTCCATGCCTACTTCGCGCCTGTGACTCCACCTCCTTCGGTCGGGGGCAGCAGACAACGCTTCTGCAGATGTTGCATCATCCTATGACACTGGAAGTGGTCATCCTTGCAAACTGAGTATTTAATTACACTTGTAGAATTACGGTGGACACCAGTATCTTCAAGGAGAGCGATACCAGTGTCATTTGCAAGGGCCGGTGAACGGGGCTGTGGTGCCAGGCCCCTGTAGCCACCCGTACACGTACATACACGCGCCCCAACTGGTCCAGCAAACTGGCGAACTCTGCGTATGGGAGCTGGAGCCGCCTTGGCTTTTTCTGTAGGTGGATTGGTATAATTCTGAACCATTCCTACTGGGCATGCTCAGATGAAATCGTTGCGGTAAGGAGGGGAGGTTTCTGTGAACCCACAATGACTGTGGCTGCTGTTGAGGTTGGAATAGTAGCCGAAATCCTTTGAAATGGGGAGAGGGGGAGAGGAAAGGAACATGCTTTAACCCCGCATCCGTTGTCCAGGAGAAAAAAAAAAAAAATAACCCAAAGCTGAAAATCCCAACAAGTTTTCTGTCCATTTTGCAGTGAGGGAATGAAACAGCAGCTCTTGTGAGACATGATTTACTTGTGCTTCTCTACTTCCCGTTCCCTGCTGACCACCCTGAGCATGCTCACATTGAAGGTTCATCTGTTTCTTCTGTGTTCTGTAGCATCCAGCTCAGAGGCTTCCTAGATTGTTGTGATATAGCTTGAAATCTGTAATGCCAGGCTCAGTTTTTTTTACCCTCCCTACATCCTGCTTTTTTTACAGATTTCTAATTCCATAATTTTTTTGAGATTTACCAAACAAAAGTTATGAATCAATAATTTAAATTTTAAAAAAATACTTTTTACCATTAGAAAATTTAAATGGCAAGTGAGCTGCACTACAGGCTAGGCTCTCGTAGGCTTCTTGGCCTGTTTTTATCAGCGATTGGGCGTCCGAATTTGTTTTGCATTTCAGGTTTTATCCCAGTGACAAGAATATAACTCTTGATAAAGGGGGGAAAAATTACAATCTCTGTTCCAGCGACAGTAAGTTCCCTACTCCTGCTGTCCTTTCCCTCCGACCCTTCATCCTGCCCCCAAGAAAAAGCAAAGTAGACTCTTTTTGCTTGTTGCCCTCGACAAGAAATAATGACTCGCTAACGGAAGCGGGAGGAACAGCAGCGCCCTCAATTATTGTCACGTTTTTGTACGCTGAGGTGCGAGCGCTGGGTGATTTTGCTGACTTTCGCGTCTTCCGCAGGTAAGTGTCTTGCCCCGGAGAAGGAAGCGTGTGAATGAGCCAGGGGGTTGCTGTGGGCCAGTCCTTGCCCGCTGGCAAGTGTCCCTGGCAGCGGGTTTTGAGGCGTTTCAGGCAGGATTAGCCCAGGTGCTTCAGAGGAGCGTAGACAGCCCGAGCCAGCTCTGAACTCCGGGCGCCTTGATGCTCGGCAGTTCCAGATGCCCAGAAAGAAACGTGAACAGATGGGCAGACGCCAAGGGTTTAATGGGGCAGAACCTGGTCAAACTCCAACAGGTTTGTGGAAGACGAGCTGGCGTGTAAGTAATTGCGCTCCTCCTGCTGTCTGCGCCCCGGGATGGAAGGAGCGCACGTGTTTATGGATGGTTCCCAGCTGACCGAGACGGAGGAGCAAGTCTGTTTAATCGTCCTAGCTGCCAGCAGCCAAGGAAGTGGTGCCTCACCTTTATGCTGAAGGATCTTAGCGGGAGAGCAGGGTGCAGCACGAGGAATGTCTATTTTAGTGTCCCGGGGCCGGGGGGGGCTTGGTTTCTTCACTGTGGGTTTGCTTTGAGGACAGTGTGTTGCTTCCCAACCCTCTTACCACTGCCTGAGGTGTTCAGGCAGTCAGAAGGGTCGCTTAGTACCACCGAAGCTGTACCCCCTTCATCTACAGCTTAAATTTCCCCAACCCGTCTGTATATGCGTAACAAAGTCTTGCAGAGGCGCAGTCTGCTGGGAGGAACTCCAGTGTGCTGTGTTTAAAAGGATACTGTCAATTCCTTTCCTGTAGATCGCTTTTAATCCGTTATATTTATTCAAATCCTCTTTAGCGCTGTGGATTCTCTCTCTCCTCAGCCGGCATGTTCCTATACTTCATTTGCAGAGCTCCTTTCTCCCCTTTTCAGGGTGGCAGAAGGTAATGGTGCTTCCCATGGTGCCGGGCTGACTTGGAAGGGGCGGGTGTGCGTGGGGCAGCACCCGGCGATCACGGGATTTGCACAACTCTGGGAGGAATGCTTGGTTTCGTTTATACTGTGGCAGGGGAGAGCTAAAATGGATTTGCAAGCCAGGGTGTATGTAGTTGCCTGACTGATTTCTTTGTAACCACGCAGAGTTTTCAAGGGAAAACTCCACAATACAGAACCCAAAGCATTTTTTTTTTTTTTTTTTTCAAACAGGGTGACAGCATTAAGGTAGCTCAAACTACTTGACAGTGTCCTTTTAAGTCAATTATCCGTCTTCAAATGGACTCTTCCTTATGTTTGTATTTATAAATACCAATAAACACCATTTTCCAAGCCGTGTCTTACTAGAGGAATACCTTTGTAGAGCAAAAAGAGCCTCCCGCGCGTGGCAGCGTGGCGGAGGTGGGCTGTGTTTGGGAACGCTGCTCCTGCTCCGCACGCGTGCGCCCGTGTTTCCGCAGGGCCGGCGACTGGGCGAGCTGGAGGAGTGCCGGGTGCTGGGTCAGGCACTGGCCCTGGGTCTCCCTCCTTGTGCCAAATCCATCTTTTCCAGCCTCTGCACTAGACTAGCTGGACCAGGCAGGTCAGGTCCTTGATTTGGGACCCTGAGCTCTTTGCTATAAGTTGGCCCTTTCCTTGCCCCCCTCCCCTGAAAACCGGCGTGCACCCCAGAACCCGAAGACGCCTCTGTGGAAGTCCTGTCCCACGGGCGCGGAGCAGAGGCTGGGCTGTGGGGTACCACCTCGAAAAGCAGACCTGGCTCTGCCTTCGGGCACCTCGCCCCGCCAGAGCTGCGCTGACCTTGACGTGCCCTTGGACTTCACAGGCAGACGCGTGGAGAGACGAAGGGACCTCTCCAGGGAAACAGCCCGAGACCTTCTGGACTAGCGCTGGTGAGACCCTCCAGGGAGGTGCGAGGAGACCTAATGCAACCAAAAATTAGGCTTTTCTGGTCTTTCGAGGCACACAGCACCGCTTTTTATGCCAATTCTGACTGTTTCTGATGAGGATGTGGCAAGTGTAACATGCCGTCACAATGGTTATTTAAAACAGAAACTCTTAACAAATTCCTATTTTCTAAACATCATTGTCATTTCCTTTGGTTTTTTTATTTTACTCTGAATGTGGTGGTCATGGCTGGCCCATGGTGTCGTGGTTTTGGGGTTGGTTTTTTTTGGGGGGTGGGGGATGGTTGGGAGACCAGTATGACAAGGTTCGTCGCTACAGTGTCCTGTGGTGGGGGTGTGCCCCGAAAATGAGGTTTAAAACATCTTGTCCCCTTCTGATGAAGGACTCCATGGCTGGGGAGGTTGGTTGGGGTATTCGGAGGGTTGGTGGGGTTTTTTTCCTGTTTTGCTTCGTTTTCTGGCATCCAAGCAAGCTGGCCAAGGTTTCTGTTCCCCGTGCTGAAGCCACGCAGAGGCACCAGCTCCGCTCACGGGTGCCGGGGTCCCTGTGCTGCAGCTCGGGGACATGAAAGGGGCCCAAAAAAAAGGTGGTGGGAGGGAGAAGCTGCTTTCCTCTCCCACCCAAAGCCTCAGCTTGTGCTCGGCCCCCCCCAACGCCCAGCCTTGTGTCCGGCCAGCCGGGCCGTGCCTTCCCAGCCCCTTGCAGCCCTGGCGCCCCATCCTGGGTGGCCGCTGGCACCGGGGATGTCTCTGCACGGGAGCCCATCACCGGTGACACCTCGTCTGGCCCCCCGGCACTGCCCAGCGTGGTGAGGCGGGCGGCTGGCAGAGCGAGCAGTGCCGGGCT